TCACACACTCACACACTCGCTCACACACTCACTCACACTCACACACTCACACAAACACTCACACACACACTCACACACACTCACACACTCACTCACACACACTCACACTCTCACTCACTCACTCACACTCACACACTCACTCACACACTCACACACACACTCACACACACTCACTCACTCACACACACACTCACACACACTCACACACACTCACACACAGACACTCACACACTCATACACTCACTCACTCAAACACTCACACACTCACTCACACTCACTCACACACACTCACACACTCATTCACACACTCACACACTCACACTCTCACACTCACTCACACACTCACTCACACACTCACTCACACACTCTCACACACACTCTCACACACACTCACACACTAACACACTCATACACTCACACACTCACACACTCACTCACACAAACACTCACACTCACACACTCACACACACACTCACACAAACACTAACACACTCACTCACACAAACACTCACACACACACTCACACACTCACTCATACACTCACACACTCACACACACTCACACAAACACTAACACACTCACTCACACACTCACACACTCTCACACTCACTCACACACTCACACACTCTCACACTCACTCACACACTCACTCACAGCCTCTATGAGGGCTACACGGGAAAGCTTCTCACCTGTGTGCTGCTCACTCACACACTCACACACTCACTCACACACTCACACACTCACTCACACACTCACTCACACACTCACTCTCACACACTCACACACACACTCACTCACACACTCACTCACACACTCACTCACTCACACACTCACTCACACACTCACTCTCACACACTCACTCACTCACACACTCACACACACACTCACACACACACTCACACACTCAACACACAAACACACACACACACTCACTCACACACTCACTCACACACACTCACTCACACACTCACTCACTCACACACACACTCACACACTCACTCACACACTCACTCATACACACACTCACACACACTCACACACACACTCACACACTCTCACACTCACACACACACTCACTCACACACACACACACTCACACACACTAACACACACACTCACACACACACTCACTCACTCTCACACTCACTCACACACTGTATGAGGGCTACACGGGAAAGCTTCTCACCTGTGTGCTACTCACTCACACTCTCACACACATACACACACACTCTCACACTCACACACTCACTCACTCTCACACTCACTCACACACTCACTCACACACTCACACACACACTCACACACACACACTCACTCACTCTCACACTCACTCACACACACACACTCACACACTCACTCACACACTCACTCATACACACACTCACACACACACACTCACACACACACTCACTCACACACACTCACACACTCACACACACACTCACACACTCACACACACTCACACACACACTCACTCACACTAACACACACTCACACACACACACTCTCACACACTCTCACACACTGTATAAGGGCTACACAGGAAAGCTTCTCACCTGTGTGCTACTCACTCACACTCTCACACACACACTCACACACTCACTCACACACTCACTCACACACTCTCACTCACACACACACTCACACACTCTCACACACACACTCACACACTCACACACACTCACACACACACACTCACACACACTCACACACTCACTCACACACTCACACACACTCACACACTCACTCACACACTCTCACTCACACTCACACACTCTCACACACACACTCACACACTCACACACACTCACACACACACTCACACACACTCACACACTCACTCACACACTCACTCACACACTGTATAAGGGCTACACGGGAAAGCTTCTCACCTGTGTGCTACTCACTCACACTCTCACACACATACACTCACACTCACACACTCACTCACACACTCACTCACACTCTCTCACTCACACACACTCACACACTCTCACACTAACACACACTCACACACTCACACACACTCACACACACACTCACACACACTCACACACACACTCACTCACACACTCTCACTCACACACATACACTCACACACTCACTCACACACTCACACACACACTCACTCACACACACACTCACACACACACTCACACACTCACACACACACTCACTCACTCTCACACACACACTCACACACACACTCACACACACACACTCACACACACTCACACACACTCACTCACACTCACTCACACTCACTCTCACTCACTCACACTAACACACACTCTCACACACACACTCACACACACACTCACACACACTCACACACACACACACACTCTCACACACTCACTCACACACTGTATGAGGGCTACACGGGAAAGCTTCTGACCCGTGTGCTGTGGCCGTGTGATTCCCGCAGGAACCTGTCGGGAAATTCCTTCTCCAGCCTCGCCCCTCGCGTCTTCGATGAGCTCAGCTCCCTGAAGAGCCTGTGAGTCACACCCCGTCACTCACCTCCCGTGTGTGTCCGTGTGTGTGTGTGTCTCTGTGTGTGTGTCTCTGTGTGTGTGTGTCTCTGTGTGTCTCTGTGTGTCTCTGTGTGTGTCTCTGTGTGTGTGTCTCTGTCTGTGTGTGTGTGTGTGTGTGTCTCTCTGTGTGTGTGTCTCTGTGTGTGTGTGTGTGTCTCTGTGTGTCTCTGTGTGTGTCTCTGTGTGTGTGTCTCTGTGTGTGTGTGTCTCTGTGTGTGTCTCTGTGTGTGTCTCTGTGTGTGTCTCTGTGTGTGTCTCTGTGTGTGTGTGTCTGTGTGTTTGTGTCTCTGTGTGTGTGTGTCTCCGTGTGTGTGTGTGTGTTTGTGTGTGTCTGTGTGTGTCTGTGTGTGTGTCTCCGTGTGCGTGTCTCTGTGTGTGTGTGTCTCTGTGTGTGTCTGTGTGTGTGTCTCTATGTGTGTGTCTCCGTGTGTGTGTGTCTCTGTGTGTGTCTCCGTGTGTGTGTCTCTGTGTGTGTGTGTCTCTGTGTGTGTCTCTGTGTGTGTTTGTGTGTATGTGTCTCCGTGTGCGTGTCTCTGTGTGTGTGTCTCTGTGTGTGTCTGTGTGTGTGTATCTGTGTGTCTCTGTGTGTCAGTCGTGGGTGTGTGTGGTGTGCGTGCGGTGTGCGTGTGGTGTGAGTGTGGTGTGTGCGGTGTGAGTGTGGTGTGTGTGGTGTGAGTGTGGTGTGTGCGGTGTGAGTGTGGTGTGTGCGGTGTGAGTGTGGTGTGTGCGGTGTGAGTGTGGTGTGTGCGGTGTGAGTGTGGTGTGTGCGTGTGGTGCGTGTGGTGTGTGTGGTGGATGTGGTGTGCGTGTGGTGAGTTTGTGCGATGTGAGTGTGTGGTGTGAGTGTGGTGCGTGCACTGTTAGTGTCGTGTTTGTGTGGTGTGTGTGTGTGGTGTGTAGTGTGAGTGTGGTGTGTCTGGTGTGAGTGTGGTGTGAGTGCGGTGTGCTTGCGGTGTGAGTGTGGTGTGTGCGGTGTGTGTGTGTGGTGTGAGTGTGGTGTGTGTGGTGGTGTTTGTGTGGTGTGCTTGCGGTGTGAGTGTGGTGTGTGCGGTGTGTGTGTGGTGTGAGTGTGGTGTGTGTGGTGGTGTTTGTGTGGTGTGCTTGCGGTGTGAGTGTGGTGTGTGTGTGTGGTGCGTGTGTGGTGTGCGTGCGGTGTGAGTGCGGTGTGTGTGCGGTGTGCGTGCGGTGTGAGTGTGTTGTGCGTGTGTGCGGTGTGAGTCGTGAGTGTGGTGTGTGCGGTGTGCGTGTGGTGTGTGCGGTGTGTGTGCGGTGTGTGTGGTGTGTGTGTGGTGTGAGTGCGGTGTGTGTGCAGTGTGTTGTGTGTGGTGTGAGTGTGGTGTGAGTGTGGTGTCTGTGGTGTGTGATGTGAGTGCGGTGTGCATGGTGTGAGTGTGGTGTCTGTGGTGTGTGTCTGTGGTGTGTGTGGTGTGAGTGTGGTGTGAGTGCGGTGTGAGTGCGGTGTGTGTGCAGTGTGCGTGCGGTGTGTGTGGTGTGAGTGTGGTGTCTGCGGTGTGCATGGTGTGAGTGTGTTGTGTGTGGTGTGTGTGCGGTGTGTGTGGTGTGTGTGCGGTGTGTGCGGTGTGTGTGGTGTGTGTGCGGTGTGTGTGGTGTGTGTGCGGTGTGTGCGGTGTGTGTGGTGTGAGTGTGTTGTGAGCGGTGTGAGTGTGGTGTGAGTGTAGTGTGAGTGCGGTGTGTGTGGTGTGAGTGCGGTGTGTGTGAGTGTGATGTGAGTGTGGTGTGTGTGGTGTGAGTGCGGTGTGTGTGAGTGTGGTGTGAGTGTGTTGTGTGCGGTGTGTGTGCGGTGTGAGTGCGGTGTGAGTGCGGTGTGTGTGGTGTGAGTGTGCGGTGTGTGTGGTGTGTGTGTGGTGTGAGTGTGGTATGTGTGGTGTGTGTGCGGTGAGTGTGTGTGGTGTGTGTGGTGAGTGTGGTGTGTGTGTGGTGTGAGTGTGGTGTGTGTGTGGTGTGAGTGCGGTGTGTGTGCAGTGTGTGGTGTGAGTGTGGTGTCTGTGGTGTGTGATGTGAGTGCGGTGTGCATGGTGTGAGTGTGGTGTCTGTGGTGTGTGTCTGTGGTGTGTGTCTGTGGTGTGTGTGGTGTGTGTGTGTGGTGTGAGTGTGGTGTGAGTGCGGTGTGCATGGTGTGAGTGTGTTGTGTGTGGCGTGTGTGCGGTGTGTGTGGTGTGCGTGCGGTGGGCGTGTGTTGTGAGCGGTGTGTGTTCTGTGTGTGCGGTGTGTGTGGTGTGTGCGGTGTGAGTGCGGTGTGTGTGAGTGTGGTGTGAGTGTGTTGTGTGTAGTGTGAGTGTGTTGTGTGTAGTGTGAGTGTGTTGTGTGTAGTGTGAGTGTGTTGTGTGTAGTGTGAGTGTGTTGTGTTTAGTGTGAGTGTGTTGTGTTTAGTGTGAGTGTGTTGTGTGTAGTGTGAGTGTGTTGTGTTTAGTGTGAGTGTGTTGTGTGTGGTGTGAGTGTGTTGTGTGTAGTGTGAGTGTGTTGTGTGTAGTGTGAGTGTGTTGTGTGTAGTGTGAGTGTGTTGTGTGTAGTGTGAGTGTGTTGTGTGTAGTGTGAGTGTGTTGTGTGTAGTGTGAGTGTGTTGTGTGTAGTGTGAGTGTGTTGTGTGTAGTGTGAGTGTGTTGTGTGTAGTGTGTTGTGTGTAGTGTGAGTGTGTTGTGTGTAGTGTGAGTGTGGTGTGAGTGTGGTGTGTGTGTGAGTGTGGTGTGAGTGTGTTGTGTGTAGTGTGAGTGTGTTGTGAGTGTGTTGTGTGTAGTGTGAGTGTGGTGTGAGTGTGTTGTGTGTAGTGTGAGTGTGTTGTGTGTAGTGTGAGTGTGTGAGTGTGGTGTGAGTGTGTTGTGTGTGGTGTGAGTGTGTTGTGTGTAGTGTGAGTGTGGTGTGAGTGTGTTGTGTGTGGTGTGAGTGTGTTGTGTGTAGTGTGAGTGTGGTGTGAGTGTGTTGTGTGTAGTGTGAGTGTGTTGTGTGTAGTGTGAGTGTGGTGTGAGTGTGTTGTGTGTAGTGTGAGTGTGTTGTGTGTAGTGTGAGTGTGGTGTGAGTGTGTTGTGTGTAGTGTGAGTGTGTTGTGTGTAGTGTGAGTGTGGTGTGAGTGTGTTGTGTGTAGTGTGAGTGTGTTGTGTGTAGTGTGAGTGTGTGAGTGTGGTGTGAGTGTGTTGTGTGTAGTGTGAGTGTGTTGTGTGTAGTGTGAGTGTGTTGAGTGCGGTGTGAGTGTGTGTGAGTGTAGTGTGAGTGTGTTGTGTGTAGTGTGAGTGTGGTGTGAGTGTGTTGTGTTTAGTGTGAGTGTGTTGTGTGTAGTGTGAGTGTGTTGTGTGTAGTGTGAGTGTGTTGTGTGTAGTGTGAGTGTGTTGTGTGTAGTGTGAGTGTGTTGTGTGTAGTGTGAGTGTGTTGTGTGTAGTGTGAGTGTGTTGTGTGTAGTGTGAGTGTGTTGTGTGTAGTGTGAGTGTGTTGTGTGTAGTGTGAGTGTGTTGTGTGTAGTGTGAGTGTGTTGTGTGTAGTTTGAGTGTGTTGTGTGTAGTGTGAGTGTGTTGTGTGTAGTGTGAGTGTGTTGTGTGTAGTGTGAGTGTGTTGTGTGTAGTGTGAGTGTAGTGTGAGTGTGTAGTGTGAGTGTGTTGTGTGTAGTGTGTTGTGTGTAGTGTGAGTGTGTTGTGTGTAGTGTGAGTGTGTTGTGTGAGTGTGTTGTGTGTAGTGTGAGTGTGTTGTGTGTAGTGTGAGTGTGTTGTGTGTAGTGTGAGTGTGTTGTGTGTAGTGTGAGTGTGGTGTGTGTGGTGTGAGTGTGTTGTGTGTAGTGTGAGTGTGGTGTGTGTGGTGTGTGCGGTGTGAGTGCGGTGTGAGTGTGTTGTGTGTAGTGTGAGTGTGTTGTGTTTAGTGTGAGTGTAGTGTGAGTGTGTAGTGTGAGTGTGTGTGTGTAGTGTGAGTGTGTTGTGTGAGTGTGTTGTGTGTAGTGTGAGTGTGTTGTGTGTAGTGTGAGTGTGGTGTGTGTAGTGTGAGTGTGGTGTGAGTGTGTTGTGTGTAGTGTGAGTGTGTTGTGTGTAGTGTGAGTGTGTTGTGTGTAGTGTGAGTGTGTTGTGTGTAGTGTGTGTTGTGTGTTGTGTGTAGTGTGAGTGTGTTGTGTGTAGTGTGAGTGTGGTGTGAGTGTGTTGTGTGTAGTGTGAGTGTGTTGTGTGTAGTGTGAGTGTGGTGTGAGTGTGTTGTGTGTAGTGTGAGTGTGTTGTGTGTAGTGTGAGTGTGTTGTGTGTAGTGTGAGTGTGTTGTGTTTAGTGTGAGTGTGTTGTGTGTAGTGTGAGTGTGTTGTGTGTAGTGTGAGTGTGGTGTGTGTGGTGTGAGTGTGTTGTGTGTGGTGTGAGTGTGGTGTGTGTGGTGTGTGCGGTGTGAGTGTTGTGTGTAGTGTGAGTGTGTTGTGTGTAGTGTGAGTGTGTGTTGTGTGTAGTGTGAGTGTGTTGTGTGTGTAGTGTGAGTGTGTTGTGTGTGTAGTGTGAGTGTGTTGTGTGTAGTGTGAGTGTGTTGTGTGTAGTGTGGGTGTGTTGTGTGTGTGTGGTGTGAGTGTGTTGAGTGTAGTGTGAGTGTGTTGTGTGTAGTGTGAGTGTGTTGTGAGTGTGTTGTGTGTAGTGTGAGTGTGTAGTGTGTTGTGTGTGAGTGTAGTGTGAGTGTGTTGTGTGTAGTGTGAGTGTGTTGTGTGTAGTGTGAGTGTGTTGTGTGTAGTGTGAGTGTGTTGTGTGTAGTGTGAGTGTGTTGTGTGTAGTGTGAGTGTGTTGTGTGTAGTGTGAGTGTGTTGTGTGTAGTGTGAGTGTGTTGTGTGTAGTGTGAGTGTGTTGTGTGTAGTGTGAGTGTATGTTGTGTGTAGTGTGAGTGTAGTGTGAGTGTGTTGTGTGTACGGTGTGAGTGTGTTGTGTGTGTGAGTGTAGTGTGGTGTGAGTGTAGTGTGAGTGTAGTGTGAGTGTGTTGTGTGTGAGTGTAGTGTGAGTGTGTT